TTGAATTGAAATTAAAACCCTTTTTTTGTCTTCTGAAAGATTGAATTCACTTCAATTGTTTTTATTGTCCAGGGCTAATGTTATCAACTTATCTCTTAACTTCGTGATGCAGTATGTATTATTTTGTAATAACTATGCCGTTTTTTATCTGTACATTCGTAATTATTTGGTGGTTCCCTTAAGGCAGAAACTAGTCTCGGTACCAAGATAATCTCAGTCATTGTAATTTATGAGCAATTTAAGTGTTCAGATCTGTCGCACTGTTCACTGCGTTGGTAAAAATACTGTAATTTAATCCATAACTTAATTCTAGTAAAAATAATTCTGCATTTTCCGCAGAATTGGTCAGACGCGTGATGTCATGGTACCACATTGTTTTTTAGAGATGTATATAATTTTTTACGACTTTTCTAACACAATGGCGTATTCAGTAAGAACATTGTTCTCTTGTTCTCTTGTTATCGCGTAATGTGTGACTGTCTGAACGGCCTTGCTCAAGTTTGTACATTATAACGTACGCGCCTCTTGAGTGCGTTATGTAACATAACATAACATAACATAGTGATGTCGGCGCTGAAGTGCAGGCCTGATGTGGCCTGTCGCCGATTCTTTTCCTTTTCGTGCCTTGTTCACAGAAGATGTCTAAAATCGTGTCATTTGACCGGATCTTTTCATGACTGACGATAGTTTGAAGTAGCTACTAGACTTCCACCGGGTTCGATAAGGAGCTAGGCATTTCAAATGTGAACATATATTTTTCCATAGCTTTATCTAGTCTGTTCTTGAACGCGTTCATACTTGGAGCGCCAACGATGTCATCGGGGAGGCTGTTCCACATGTCGGTGATTCGAAGCGTGAAGAAATTTTGTCGCGTGGAGATGTTGCAGCGCAGTTTTTTAGCTTATAGCCGTGGCCCCTGGTGTTGGTTCTTGTTTCAAATTCTAGTAACCCTTCAGGGACCTTGTATAGACCATGAGTATACTTGTGTACTTCAATGAGGTCCCCACGCAGACGTCGATAACTGAGGCTTGACTTGACTTAACTTGAGGCGTCGATAACGTTCGCAATGTTATGTACGCATGCACGCACTACGTGCGCTTTTGCTGCTTACCACTTATGCAAAGGACTTGTATATTTTAATAATATTTATTAGTATATTTAATAGTTAAATGGTCACAAGCGCTGCAAAGCGTAGCTTATTTCTCGGCACCCAAACATCCAATGATGGACAGTCTTCGAGAAAATTTGACAATTTTTTTCATTGTCGTCTTGCTGGTCTACAGTCACGCGTAATAGTCTGCAGACACGCTCTAGTCTTCCTGCTGGTCTGCAGACACGCTCAAGTCTTCCTGCTGGTCTGCAGACACGCTCAAGTCTTCCTGTTGGTCTACAGACACGCTCAAGTCTTCCTGCTGGTCTGCAGACACGCTTAAGTCTTCCTGTTGGTCTGCAGACACGCTTAAGTCTTCCTGCTGGTCTGCAGACACGCTTAAGTCAGCAGACACGCTCAAGTCTTCCTGCTTGTCTGTAGATGCGCTCAAGTCTTCCTGCTGGTCTGCAGACACGCTTAAGTCTTCCTGCTGGTCTGCAGATACGCTTAAGTCTTCCTGCTGGTCTGCAGATACGCGCAAGTCTTCCTGCTTGTCTGTAGATGCGCTCAAGTCTTCCTGCTTGTCTGTAGATGCGCTCAAGTCTTCCTGCTGGTCTGCAGACAAGCTTAGGTCTTCCTGCTGGTCTGCAGACAAGCTTAGGTCTTACTGCTGGTCTGCAGACACGCTCAAGTCTTCCTGCTGGTTTGCAGACAAGCTCAAGTCTTCCTGCTTGTCTGTAGATGCGCTTAAGTCTTCCTGCTTGTCTGTAGATGCGCTTAAGTCTTCCTGCTGGTCTGCAGACACGCTTAAGTCTTCCTGCTGGTCTGCAGATACGCTTAAGTCTTCCTGCTGGTCTGCAAATACGCTTAAGTCTTCCTGCTGGTCTGCAGACACGCTTCAGTCTTCCTGCTGGTCTGCAGACACGCTTCAGTCTTCCTGCTGGTCTGCAGACACGCTTAAGTCTTCCTGCTGGTCTGCAGACACGCTTAAGTCTTCCTGCTGGTCTGCAAATACGCTTAAGTCTTCCTGCCGGTCTGCAGACAAACACCACGACAATAGCGCAGTAAATCGCACAGCAACGAAGGGGCGCGGGCAGTTTTGCTGCTGTAAATTATAAGTCTGCAATATTTCAATATTTGGTGTGCGCTAAATAGCTCATAAATAGGTTAATGGTCGAGCTTATTTTTCAATATAGCGCATGAAGAGCGCAGCTGTCGCCCGGCGCTATTATGCGTGCTCAACTTTGAGCCATTTTTGCCTGGTCTCTGATAAATAGTGACTACATTCTAGTCTGTTTCTTGGTGTTCCTTTTTCTATTATATTAACGTAAGTGTGTTAATTTTTTATTTTATCCGTTGTATGAAATTTCTGCAATTATTTTCTTATGCAGGTGGAACGTTGAAAATAAACTTTTGTATCAAGTTATTATGAAAGTGGCTCCAGCTTAATTCTTAACTTGTGCACTAAAAAGTAGAATATTTTAAATATAATATAAAAAGTTCAAATATTTTGGTTTTATTAAGTTTATGCAGTAATAATACAATTCATAATCTCTTCCTAATTCATATTTGACTTGTAATCAAGCAAGATGTTTATGAATCACTTAAATTAGTTAGCAATTATATCATAATACTGATCAAACCGTCGAATTAAATGAAAGATGTAAGCTATACAGCTACTTCCTTTAGTATAGAATTTTTTTTTTATTTTTAAGTAGGTAACAGACTGTGGGCAAAAGATTATCTGATATATCCCTTGTGAAAAAATAACTGAAAACATTTCAAAACTTGGGTTAGATATGGAGTGCCTAGGAAACCTAGAATGGGATTCAGGCTTCAAGAATTTAGCTTCTATCATACTCGCAAATCGTGCAACCTTGCTGATTTTTATCCATTCATCATTGGATTTTTAGTCATATTCGAATTATTTTGGGGATTCAAGAATTTTTTAAACATGCAGTATTTTTATTTGGCACCCAATTATCCCTGGATTTTTTCTACACTTAAGCATAGAATGATTCCTGATTATGCGAGGGATATGAAGAGCAATATAAGCTCATAACTTGGGACTCGTTTCATGGCCACCGCCGCTGGCCTCATGAATAGCATTAACTTGTGACGCCTCATGCCGCTGTGTCCTTGAATTTTCAGCTCAGACCTAAAGGATTAAAGCACTAAGGCAGGGTCGTCCTGTGAAATTTCTGATCCAATGTAAAGGCTAAGGCTTTGACGCCTGGAATCTTTGGTTTCTACTAAAGGCAAGTTCAGTTTAAACAATCATTTAGTGTATTCATCTTTTTACGTGGAGATTGAGATTTTACTGTTTAGTTTACCTATAGCTTAGACGCGAGGTATTTTTGCACGTTTTTTATGCTAGAATAATGTAACTGCAGCGTCAAATTTGTTTTTCTAAACCTCGATTTCATGAAATTTTTTGGTATCGACTGAAACCACCTTGATATCCCTGCTGCTGAAGCCCTCCTTAATCCCCAGTAACTGAAACCCAATTTAAATCCCAGTAGATGAAAACCCACTGAGATCTCCTCAACTGAAACCTCACTGAAATCCCACCGAATTTTCACCGAACACCTAAGAGCTATTGAAAATTACTCTCATTTGTCCGCTATTGCATATCGTTTCTCTGTGCAGATGGCGTAGTCTGGACCGCGCTGAGATGACAACCATGGATGCGTGGCTACCAAACCCTAAGGCCTCCCCGTACGTGCCAGCACGTTCTCCATGTGATACTCGACACGCTTGTCGCTCTGGCTATCCTTCTCCTTCTTCTTGTTCTTCGTCTTCTTCATCTTCTTCTTATAACTCGTCGTCAGTTCCATCTTCATTTTTCTCCGGTTCCCTCGATTGTCATGAACATGACCTCCATAGAAAAACTTCAGATCCCCGACATTTCCAGCCACAAAGCTACAGCTCTAAGAGCAGCACTACCCTGACGAGGAGCATGCGCTTCGTCCTGTTGCGCTCCAGCGCTCGTCGACTGACGACGAAAATCTTGCGAGGGGCGCTGCTGCTCGTGCTCGTCTTCACCGTCGCGGTCAACATCGTCATCATCGTCGACAAGTCACAGAGGGTCAACCTCGCAGGCCAAATGCGAGTCCAAGGTGCGAGATTTTTGTGATAATTTCTAAAGGTGCCATATTTTTGTGATAATTTTTATAGGTGCGATATTTTGTGATAATTTTTCAACGTGCGAGATTTATGTGATAATATTTCAAGGTGCGATATTTTTGCGATATTTTTTCTTGGTGCGATATTTTTTCTTGGTGCGATATTTTTGTGATATTTTTTCATGGTGTGATATTTTTGTAATAATTTTTCTAGGTCCGATATATGTGCGGTAATTTTTCAAATTGCGATATTTATGTGATAATTTTTCAAGATGCCATATTTTTTAATTAAGTAATATTTGCATGCAGAAATTAATGCTCATTTTTTAAAGAATTATAACTTGTTTTTCTCCATTTTTGTTTTGATTTTAGGCTACGTTTCTGGAATGTATTACCGTACCTTAAATTGTTCATACCTGTCATGAATGAATTTGATGTGAATTTTATGATGAAAGTGTGTGAGGTATACTGATTTCACTGTTAAAATACACCTGTTCAGTGAACACACCTGTTCAGTGAACACACCTGTTCAGTGAACATCTTATGGTGATGATCACGGGACGAGTTAACGATAATTAATGCACTTATTTCATACTCAATCAATTTATGATGGAATTCCCTATAAACTAATGGATAGCTTCATTGATGGTGGATACGTTCATTAGTCTCTCTGACTGTATAAATACTCTCATGCGGTTACTGTATAAATACTTTTCATACGGTAACTGACTGTATAATGATTCTCAATACACATTAACCTGTAACTGTACACTGTACAGGCTCAGTCGAGGAGGGAGGTGTGGGGGCTGAGCTAACCATGTACAGTCGGCGCAACAACCTGCGCCTGCAGCAGACAGCACCTAAGACCCTGAGCCTGGAGGTGGTGTCCTCGCACGACAGGGTCGCTGTCACGGTCGATGGTGCAACTGTGAGTACATTATAGATATTTAGAATTTGCATAAGTGTGTGTAGTGCATGATAGTATTGGTTGATTCCATTGTTCATGAGAATTAATCGTTGTTATACCTCTACCGCCGTGTGTCACTCTCCGGGAACATAACTTTCAACTTAAATTATATGTAAACTATTTAGTGTTGCAACTTGAAGATGCAACAGAGAACTTTTTAAAGTTGTCGTACATGGCGGCAACCATCAGTGCAAGTCATTTTGCGCTCACTAGAACTTATCTTATTTGGGAAGTAGACTTGTGACAATATTGCTCCGGTTACTCATGTCAGGCGGTAGAGGGTTAAGAATTGTCGTGGCTTGAGACCCGGCAACGCGTCAGTTATCTTATAGTGTTTAACCTACACATTATCAACTCCAACAACTTTATTATTCTACATTAGCATAATCAGACTCCGTTCAAAAGTTTAATTAGAGGCATTAGGAATTTTTTCTTTTAACTGGAACACTGGGACAATGGTTGAATCATGCTTATATAAGTTTCAAATTGACCTAGAAAATTGTAGCTTTTTTAATAAAAAGTTTTGTGTTAAATCGTGCAAAGTATTTCATATCCCACGTAAATAAGTTAAAATATATGATGTGATAATTGTTTTATTTAGTTTTAATATATTTTGCTGAAGTCAATCCTCATGAAAGAAACGAGATAACATTTCCCTTCGAGTTTCATTATTTACGGATAAAAACCACCCTTAAACAACTTTTATTCAACTATCTATTGTGTTAACAAGTTACCGATAACAACTATCTTTGTTCTTTACAAGTTACCTACTGAAAGGATCTGTGTTTAACGAGCAATATTGTTACAAATTTACCAATAAAAACTATCTATATTTAAAGATTTATGTTCACAAATTACCGATAAAAGCGATCAATGTATTTTACAGGTTAGACAAAAAATATTCTTTAATCAACGGTCTATCTTGTATACAAATTTAAAAAATTTCGATATTGAATGTTGTATCTTATTCAGAATAATCAAATAAGCACGATATATGACGCTCGACGAAACGTGCCCCAGATCGTGGAGAGCGCCGGCGACGACGGTAGCGGCGTGGGCCGCGGGATCCACGTGGTGGTGCTGCACCAGACCACGGGCGCCGTGATGGCCACGCGCGTGTTCGACACCTACTCCCCCCACGAGGACGATGCCCTCGCCCTCTTCCTCAGCATGCTGGCGCCTGGTCGTATCATCGTCTTCGCTCTCAAGGTAGCTCTTGTGAAGTGACGTGTTTAGTTTATTGTAAGGTTGTTCAATATTACGAGGATGATGCCCTCTTCCTCAGCATGCTGGTGCTCGGTCGTATCATCGTCTTTGCCCTCAAGGTAGCCGCTTGCAAAATGACCTGACAGATTATTTCTAATTAATAATTAATTTAATTTATTTAAGGTTGTTAATTAAATTGTAAATTTAATATTCGCTGTTTAAATTTTGGCTTGAAACTCGTTAGTTTTAATTAATACACTTGATTAATTAACTGGTATTTGTCAAATAAGTATTTTGATTACAGGTTGTGATGTTCCTGTGTCCCTCTACCACTTAGAAGCACTTTGGTGTAGACAAGTCTTGCTTATAGTTGCAGTTTAGAAATTTCTTAGTCAAAGCGCCAGAGTTAACGATGCAAGTTTAATATATTTGCAGCTATATAGTAATTAATTTATGTACCTATATTCATTAATATATTGCAGTGATATTCGATTTGCCGACCTGTTAGACTTTTTTCAATGATTGGTTGAAATTTACTTGACAAGTTTTCATTGGAAAATATCATTTGCGGTTATAGTTAAGTTTACCGCGCAAATTGGTTGAGATTTAGATCTTCGGTTATGCAGTCTCGTGTATTGCTCGAGTCTTCAACCACTCGTGTGTTATACTATCATGAAAGTTTTTTTTTAATGGAATGAAGCGCTCACATATTTTCCAATTAAAGGTGCTCTCGCATAATCGTTTCGAACGCGGGCGCTTCAGGCAAAACAAGGCATGTGCATTCAACGGCAGCGTCTGAATCGCAATCAAGTTGTATCATTTCTCGTCTAAATCGCTATTGAGTTGATATCATTTCCCCAGGCGGTTTAGCTGCGCCGGCGGCTTCATTTCATTCACTAACATTTTAGTTGTTTGTGGTACACACGACGCGGCTTGTCGACAGCCTCCAGAACTTGGCAGCGGCTGTACGATCGATTGCTTTTCGATTGATCGGCGCGCTTTCAGTACGAATTTGGTATTAAATGGACTTGTAATTTCTCAACTGTACTAAATCTTAGGTTGATTCAAAGCACTCTACAAACCTCTTATCGTGTGCCTTTTTGTTGTATTAATATTCACAGTATTAAAATTTTTGTTCGATTACATTTTTTGGAATTTAAAGGGAAGAAATTGTCTAGAAAGTTTAGATTTCCCTTTTATTTTTTTCTATCAGGACTTCTCATTCTGGTATTCCGCCTATTAAAATGAATACCTGAAATGTACGGTAATTTTTATATTTACCTTTCGTTAGTGATCATTAAACGTGTATTGATGTAACCTATTGACCTTCGTCGTGATCTATTCGTTTTACTGTAGGACATTAGAGGAAATTCATTTCAAAATGTAGTGTGAACCTTGCATGGAGATTTATTGTTGGACATCGATCTTAGTATATCGTTCCCAGTTTATCTATCCTTATCCCGACCCATTTTCAACTCAGTTTTTAGGTAATAATAACCCCCCGATGTCAATGAGAATAACAATAATAGAAGTAAAAAGTTCATGACGAGTGACGTGAACCTCGTCGGTGCACCTCAGTAAATCATCCATCTGTGGTTTATTATTACTAACGCTGTGAACCGTGCAGGCGTCAATAATTCCTCTTAAAGGTTTTGCTGTTAACGTCACGTGAAGAATGCACATCACAGTTGATCTTTGCTCTGTGTTGCTGTAAGACTTGGTCGTCCGTATCACGAGTTCAAACTGAGATCCTCAATACCGGTAGGTTTTCTCGCTTTACGCGTTTCTTTGGTTTTCTGGTCGAGTGGTTGGGTTTATTGGCCGCATCCCTTCTGTGCTGCTGTCGCTTCTCTTAAAAAGATCTTCAAAATACCAATCCATCCGAAGAATTTGATTGCGTTGAAGCTTCGCCATATTGTTGCGTGCTCACATGGAAAAGTCGGGATTGCTGAAATTTTCGGAAGTGCTGGACCGTAACTGTGAGATTGTTTCTGGGCGCTGGATTCTTTTCATTTATTGCTGGTCTGGGGTGTGTTTGCACTCCACACGCTCGCGCTGACAATCCTCGGCACTTTTTAAACTTGAACGACAATTGAATTCCTTAAACTGAATGCAGCCATTGCATTCACGGTCCCTTTGAGGAAATTCAGTATTCGAACCAATTGATCCCTGGAAATATTATACTATTCAGTTTTTGGTTCGGACTAAAATTTATGACCTTATCAACTCTTAATTTCTGAATGTACTGTAACGATGTCATTGCATCAAATAATTTATCCGGCGGTAAAAACACAGTCATAAAAATGAGCAAACAAATGTACAAATTATTATGCATGATTTTATTGGACTTTATAGAAGGTACTTCATGTATTTAATGTGATCATTAAATGTGTGTGTGTCCTCGTTGTACAGGGTCCTTCAAAAAAAAGTATCTGATTTCAATAGGCTTTTGCAAAACTCATACGACACATACAGAACAATTAATTTTATTTGTGAATAGCTTATTTGATGCCATTTTATATCACTTAGTACACTTTACTTAGTTTTGAAAATTATGTTTGATAAATGATGTCCCCCATTGTTAAGACATTCACGAAGTCTTTCCCTGAAGTTGCCCATAGCTCTTCGTGTAACTTCCCTTGGAATGGCTGCCACTTCCTGCCTAATGGCATGTTTTAGTTCTTGCAGATTTCTGGGACGATATTTGTACACTTCAGCCTACAGGTAGCCCCACAGAAAGAAATCGCAAGGTGATAAGTCGGGTGACCGTGGGGGCTAGGAAATGTCTCCTCTTAAAGACACAAGACGTCCAGAAAACAACTCTCTTAACATTTCCATGGACCGACGAGCAGTGTGAGTCTTTCTGTGGGGCTAAGTAAAGGCTGAAGTGTACAAACATCGTCCCAGAAATCTGCAAGAACTAAAACATGCCATTGGGCAGGAAGTGGCAGCCATTCCAAGGGAAGTTACACGAAGAACTATGGGCAACTTCAGGGAAAGACTTCCTGAATGTCTTAACAATGGGGGACATCATTTATCAAACATAATTTTCAAAATCAAGTAAAGTGTACTAAGTGATATAAAATGGCATCAAATAAGCTATTCACAAATAAAATTAATTGTTCTGTATGTGTCGTATGAGTTTTGCAAAAGCCTATTGAAATCAGATACTTTTTTTTGAAGGACCCTGTATAAGGAAGTTATCTAGTCACAATTCCTACTCATTGGACTTTTGGTATAGCTACTTCAATTATAGTCCATGCTGCACCTGGAAGTCATTATTGCGGTTATGTATTGAAATCTATACATACTTAGCCTAGTAATTGTAGTCAATTGAGATTTTTAGTGGATTCCACGACTTGGCTTCATACTATATCTAATCATGGTAAATTGGTCGTTAGTTAATTAATATTACCGTTGGGCTTCATATATCTAAAATCACGGCTAATTGATCGTTAGTCGCTATTATCACCATAGATCATTCAATACTAGTTGAAATCAGTTCCTTAGGACTAAGAGAAGGTTACTTCAATTCAATGAGAATGAAGGATAGTCCGGGGGTTTAATTAGAACAATAACAGAATTAAAATGTACGGATAATTTGAGGTGTCGAGTTAGGTAATAATAAATCACCTCGAGGTCAATGAGAATAACAACAATAGAAGTGAAAAACACAGATTAGTTTCGTGGCTCGGAAGGTAATAGTAACCCCCGGTTACAACAACGTAGCGGTTGTAGTCCACTTGACGGATTGCCGGATCTGGCGTGGGTGTCCGCAAAGTTTCAAGCCGCCGGGTGACGGATTAGCCGCTTTGTTCCGCGCTGTTCAGACGCAGCCACACTTGTTGACGTGCCACCGCTACCGCTGCTTTTTGTTTACCTGAAATTTGACGGTTTGTGCGACTGTGTGCTGCTGCGTTTCAATGATACTCTTTATTTATTATCATTACTGTCGTTCGCACTCGATATGTTTTTATTTGTACCAAAATTTTCGGCGCAGTGAAGTTGGATAATTAATTGGTGGTAATTGCGTCAAAATATAGGCTTCCCTTGCGTTAAAAGTATAAAAACTGTTGATTTGACATATTGTGAGATAACTTTATTTCAATTAACTCAGATGGAACCTCAAGTAAAATCGATGAAACCTCTCTATAATCTATATTGTATTAATTTTTTTGGCTATTACAAATGAGAACTCTGCACTGAATTCTCTCTTATTTTGGTGCTCAGAGATATGAATTTAAGTTGACCTCTCAAATCTTGCCGTGCATTTTAGCCATAACCTTCATTTCCTGTCTTATTAACGCGTTCATTATATTTTATGTCTTTACTCAGACAAATTAGTGAGAACATGCCCAAGAAGCAATGCACTTTCTGCCCCTGTGCAGGGCAGAAAGACTCTGTACATCTTTCACAGTTTATATATATACTCTATCCCGACCCAGTTTCACGTCAGTTTTAATGGGAGCATATCAGTACTCCATAAAGCAAGCATCACTATTTGGACAATGTGACCCATTCATTATTAAGCGTATTTTGTAAACTAAGCTTTTTTTGTTGCCTAAGCTTTCCGACACGTACTTCTGAAAAAAACCGTACAAAAAACGACATTTTTTCTGTACTACGCGGTGAAATGAGAGCGTGAAAATTCTTGGCCTGGCAATTTGTTGGTGTGATCGAAGCGTCGTTGGGGAAGGTGCTGCGACTTGACAACTTTGTCCCTACAGATGTGACCGCCGCAGAACTTCGATAGCTTCCAATATCTCGACACACGAGTTCTGGGTGAGAGTGTGTACAATATACTCGAGTTCTGGGTGAGAGTGTGTACAATATACACAGGAGTTCTGGGTGAGAGTGTGTACAATATACACGCGAGTTCTGGGTGAGAGTGTGTACAATATACACGCGAGTTCTGGGTGAGAGTGTGTGCAATATACACGCGAGTTCTGGGTTATAGTTTGTATAATGCACACACAAGTTCTGTGTGAAGGCGGCGGCGCTCTGTTATCTCTGATTGATCTGTTTGTTGCTAGTCTTGCATTAAGGTGCAGGTGGCCCATAGCACACCTACTGATTAAAGGCCACACTTATTGATTACTGATTAAAGACGCCGGTATTTACTTATACTGTACTTGTACTTTCTTTACTTCTACTTCTATACTGGTCATTACTTATACTTGTTATTATACTTACTTATACCGGAATTTAGACACTACTTATACTTATACTGCCGCAATATGAACGTGTTACGATGTTTAAATGAATAATTTCTAAATTCGAGGTAAAAGAGGTAATATGGGGAAAGCTTCAGAGGCTTGAAACGGTATGATGTTTCTTCCTGGCTATCGTTGCAGCACTTTAAGTACGCTCAACATAATTTGATTTGATCAATTTTGAATGAAAAATTGTCTTGCAGGACGAGGGTTCGTACAACCTGCGCGGTGGCGTACGAACAGCCCTGGCTCAGCTAGGCTCTACGAAGTCCCGGGACTTATCATGGCGGGACATGTGGGCCTGTGTCACCATCAAACCTGGTCCCAGGGTCGAGCCTTCAAGTCCTCAGGTTGAAATCATCGCCGATATCAGCCACAACGAAGTTTTAAACATTCATTACCCTGTAGGAGGGCTACACGAGACCGGCCAGAACACCGTCAGGAGCAAGAAGAAGGCGAACAAATCCTCCCCTCGGCGCCCAACTTTGGCCATCGCTGAGGAACTCAGCAGAAGCCCTGACTTCAATTCCTGGGGCAAGCCTGTTGTGCTCAGGGCTGAGGTGCCGCTAGTGGCAGCACACGGTCAGTTCTAATTATTATTTTAAAATAAATTTATTATTAAGTTACATTTATACAGGAATATATTGACAAATAACTATTTGTAATGCAGATTGTACTATTTTTTCTAGGTATGAATACAAACGAATTGATTCTCTGTGATGTTTTCTCTTCACGATGTGACCGCGGATATTTAGTTTGCTATCGCGTCTAACAATAATTTGATTGAGTGGATTTGACAATTTAATTTTGAGGATCAAATAATACTGCCTGTGAATCGAATATTTTTGCACTATTTAGCGAGTTTCCATTTCATTATTTGTTAGAATCGATATAAAGAAACGATTAAGTAAACCGGAAAACGTTATCCGTTTCAACTTTTACTATCTTGACATGCATATAATTAAAAACAATATTTATACTAGACTGTTGACGTTTATTTATTTAGTTTTTAAAGTTAATTCCTTTTCTAACATTTACTTTTTTTTAGTTTATTTTTTTAACGTTCATTTCGTAAAACATTTTTTTCTTATTTTTGAACGTATATTACGTTTTCAAAAGTTTATTTATTTTTTTAACTTATATTTATTCATATCAAACTTTTATTTCATATTTTAGAAGGTTCATTTAATCTTAAGACCTTTATTTCTCTAGTGAAACGTTTATATCCTTATTGAAATTTCATATATGAGTGCAGAAAGCGAGTGCGCGTGGCCGGACACAGACGAGCACCGCAGGCGACGCGACTTCTGCGGCCACATCGAAGGCTACGGCTCCGTCTGCGCCTGCGACGAGCCTGCGCCGCTCGCCTTCTCGACTGAACAAGTGAGAGCAGCCCTGACTTTAACATTTCAGGGGCCATACTTTCAAAACTCGCTAAGTGAACGTAAGTACTAACGCTCTATTTTCTTGTCTACGATTGGTGGATTTTGCTTGAATGGCCGTCAATGATTGGCTGATGAACTTACGATCTCTTAACTTTTTTGAAAGTATAGGCCCTGGTACATAGGAGGGACTTTTATTGTAAATCATTTGTTCAATCTAAAGAAGTGAAGAAGTTGAAGTTTGTTTTGTACTGGAATTTTTTTTCGTGATACATATAAGATAAATTCATTGTAAAGTAATGTAAACTGTTCGTTGTACTTGGCCAGCGTATGGGGACTTATCCGTGGACTTTTTACTACCAATCTCCTCCACACAAACTACCAATTATTTTACACTTTGTGCTCTCTGGCACAACGTAAAAACCACAAAAAAATTTTCGAGTTTTTTTTTTAGAAAATTGGACAAAGTTATTAAATAATAGGTTTTCAAATCATTTCAAAATTAAATAGTATATAATTAATACCCTGAAAATGCTTAATTATTATTGCGTGTAAAAATATTAACTATACTTAAAATTGTAGTAATCTTGAAGCATCTTTGGAAAACAGCAAATCTGAAGTTAGCCACCCTTCCCCGTGACGTTAGCGCGTCTGTCCTCCTTGTGAGGCCGCGGCCAATTTCCTGGCCAGTTTCCCCTTTATTTCCTTGCTTGTTTTATCGTCAAGCGCAAAGCCTTGATTTTGTGACGTAAAAAAAACGTATAAATGCGTCGAGAACTCCGTGGGGGAGAGGGGTTGAATACGGGGGGGATAGGGATGATGGGTGAAAGGGATGCATGAAATAAGGGAGGTATGAGGAGGCTTTTTAAAATGAAATTTAGGCTCAGAAAATATTTCTGTAAAAAGTAAACATGAAACAGGTTTATTTATGTCAGTCCACTTGGGGCTGTGTTAAACAAAAAATCATGGAACATTTCTCTCGTGATAGTATAAACTTAATAACTTAATAAGCTAAATTTGGCATGTGTATTTTTCTTGTATATTTCTATCAAAATTAACTTATTTTCTGTCCCATGATTTCGGAGATTTTTATTTAAACAGACTAAGTTTTGCCGACATTGCTTCTTCATTCACTGGAAATGATCCACCCTAAAAGAGCAAGGTTATATTTGATAAAAAAAAAATTGAAATATATTTGATAATGAGACAGTCTTTCCATTAAATATCTAATGGAAAATTGTTAAAAATAAATTTGTAATGAAAACGAGACATTTTCGCCAGCTTCTCAACAACCGAGTGCACGACGTACCTGTCACCATCATCGCCAGCAACCGCCCTCACTACCTCTACAGGTGAGACCTGCTCTCTACCTCTACAGGTGAGACCTGCTCTCTACCTCTACAGGTGAGACCTGCTCTCTACCTCTACAGGTGAGATATAAATTATTGTGGTATAATGTATAATTTATTGTGATATTATTTATAAATTATTGTGGTATAATATTTAAATTATTGTGGCATAATTTATAAATTGTTGTGGCATAATTTATAAATTGTTGTGGCATAATTTAAAAATTCTTATGGCATAATTTTTAAATTATTGTGGTATTATTTATAAATATTGTTATATAATTAATAAATAATTGTGGTATAATTTATAAGTTATTGTTGCATTATTTATAAGTTATTCTTGTATTATTTATAAATTACTGAGTGGTATATTGAATAAATTAATGTGACTGTATTATTTGTAAATTATTGTGATATTATTTAATAAATTACTGTGACGTGCACACGTTACGCTGCGTCAGGTGCCTGCGGTCGCTGCTGGGCGCCCCTGGCGTGAACCCGTCGCTGGTGACTGTCTTCATTGACGGTTACTACGAGGAGCCTCTCGCCGTCACGCGCCTCTTTGGCCTCAGAGGCATCCAGCACACGCCTCTCGGGGTGGGCCTAATGCAAATTAAGACTTGTATTTTTGTTTTTCTTTATGGCGTATTGATCCTTCATGAAGATATGAATTTATTTGGCGTTTTTTACTTTAAATTATTACATACATATTGATGAATCTGTCATTTAATCAGACTAACGATATAAGTAGGTACTTCATGTTTGTATATGCTTTAGATCACGTCTAGCCGAGAATTGTGTTATTCGTATGTTATTTTGTGTCGAGTAATCATGAATAAACATGAGCTGTTTAAAAATCTTCCGTAGATTTTTATACAGACTGCTAATAAAGAGATTTTACTACAGCATTGTGATTGATAGTTGATTTTGTCATCATGTTGATGTAGCTCTTCACAAATTTTCCATCTCTTACTCTGATTTGTTTGCTTGTTAGTATTAATTTGACATATTTGTGCATAAAAATATTTCCTTCGAACCGGATTTGAACCAGTGACCTATGGATAGCTGATCACCACTACAGTCCACCGCTCTACCAACTGAGCTATCGAAGGATGTGTAACAACTTTGTTGTTTGTTATTAAAAGCGATTATATTATTTCCTTCTATCGTTGTTATTCGGGATCAAAATATTGAATTCCATGACTGACTTCCAGGTTTGCAGTTTCAAGTAATTGTTCCATGGTACAGAATTTCAACGGGGCTGCAAATAAACCTCAGTTTTCACCGTCACTTATGGATAATTCCTACAAGTTCTGCGTCTTTGGACGTATCAAGATATCACTCTGCCGATATACCATCTCTGTTATCGGACATTTCTTGTACTTTTCTTGCCTTTTTCAAGCTTTATCTTTTAACTGCTGTCTGTTTATAACTGATCAATGTTCGTTGGCAGGTTCGCAACGCGCGCATCTCGCAGCACTACAAAGCCTCCCTCACCGCCACCTTCAACATCTTCCCCAGCGCGCGCCACGCCATCATCCTCGAAGAGGATCTCGACGTGTCTCCTGACTTCTTCAGGTACAGTTCCTACTTTACGCTCTACTTGAATCTTTATTAATATCTACTGATGTCAAACAGGTAGAGTTTCTACTTTACGCTCTACTTGAATCTTCTTCATTGATGTCTATTGATATCAAATCGTTTTTACATTTACGAAGACAAACCCAAAGTAAATCACGATTCAAATGTTTCTCCTCGTAAGACGTTGTTCTTCCATGACGGAGGCTCTAGACGTTGTTTTGCGTGAATACCTGGAAATAAATTATCCTCGATATCAACTGATATCAAATTTTTATATCTTAATTAACTAAAAACAAATGTTACGGTAGTAAAATTTTACTCCTCCGTAGGTAGTCATTAATAACGAAAACCAACAGTGAATCCTCCCCGTACATCCTCCCCGTCAGTCACTTCAACCAGCCACGAGGGCCAGACGTTGTACTGCATGCATATAAAAACTTTATTGGACGTCAAGCTATATTTAATTGCTTGAATCTTTGATATCGGTGCGTATTCAATGAATAAATATGAAAATAAGAGCTTCAGTGGACCTACTCAATAACCAAATGTAAAAGGAATATTACTCCTGCCCACCAGCTACTTCAGCCAGACGTTGTTCCTGTTAGACGAAGACCCGACGTTGTACTGCATTAGTGCGTGGAACGACCAGGGCTACGAGCACACGAGCGGCGACCCTGCGTTGCTGTACCGCGTGGACACAATGCCGGGTCTGGGGTGGCTGCTGTCCCGGGACCTCTACAAGCACGAGCTCGAGCCTGTCTGGCCCACGCCTGAGAAGGTGAAGATGCATGCCGAGGACTGAGAGAGAATTTTATTTTATCGTTTGAATTGCATTTAACCGACAAATTTGCTACTGACGAAGGAGAAAAGGTGACGATGCCAGCCGAGGACTAAGAGAATTTCATATTATCGTTTGAATTGTATATTGAGCCGAGAAATTTGCTACTGATGAAGGAGAAGGTTTCAATGCTCGCCGAGAGGGAAAGGGGATTTTATTTTGCCGTTTGACGTATATTAAGCCGAGAAGGCTACTATCCGCGCACGCGCAGTGGGGGCAAAAAATGTTTGGCTACTTCTAAGGTATTAAATTAGATTAAACTTTGAGGTATATTGGTAACAACGTGCGGGAATTTTCATGAAGAACAAATAAATGCGGGTTATGACCAATTAAGGTTAGGACACTGGGATTTCGCTACAAATTGACATCGGAGTATCTGAGTGATTATATTATTGTGATTATATATTAAATATATAATATTAATATATTATAATATATTATATTAATGATTATATTACCAACTGTTAATTGTACTCAAACGAAGAAGTTGCTGCAGATGTGGGACTGGGACATGTGGATGCGGCTTCCCGACATCCGCAAGTCCCGGGAATGCATCGTCCCGGACGTGTCCCGGACTTACCACTTCGGGTCCTCGGGACTCAACATGAACTCCTTCTTCCAGGACGCGTATTTCAAGAAGCACGCATTCAGCACCGCTCGATATGTCGAGCTCAGGGATGTCACCAAGTGGGTTTCTTTGTACAACATAGAACAATGATGTTTTGTACATCATGAATATGATGTACAAAAACAAAACGTAAAAGCAAAATGAATAAAAAAATATGACGTAAAGCATAATTATTCAGATATGAAGTCAGAAGAATGTTTTCAAACTTTCGTGGTTTTAAATTTGATTGAAGTTTCAACTATTTTAATTGCAACAAAACGAGAATTAATATACAAATCAGAAGTAATAGGTGAATAAAGTGAAATGAATTCAAAATGAAGTGAATATTTGAAAAGTTTGTTTGTCTGTACAATGTGAAGACGAATAAAATGTTAATTTAGCAGGGATATACCGATAAATATTTTCATTCTTCTGCGGCATGAAACTTAATAGAAGCTTGTTAATGAAGTTTAAAATAACCTCATATTTAATGTCATTTGTATATAACCGTTTCTTCTGAATTGTAATCAAGTCTGTTTGACTTCAAGGCGTGCTAAAGGAGATATTTTCAAGGTTATATAATTGTTATAGATTGTATTGGTTTATAATGCAACGCTGCACCGCAGGATGAAGGCGGCTGACTACGAGGAGCTGATGCAGGACCTGATACGTCAGGGCACGACCCTGGACCCCAGCAGGGGCGGTGACCCCTGCAGGGAGGGGTTCGTGCCCCCGCCCTCCGCCCTGGACACGACGACCTACGTCCTGTACATCACCATGGCCTCCCAGCAAGACTTTGCTGCCTGGCTGCACCTGGCCAAGGTGGAGGGGTGTTTAGGGAGGGGGTGGTGAGGGAGGGGCTGGTGAGGGAGGGCTGTTGTGGGAACATCAGACTGTTGTCATCAGATATGATGACCATTTGTTGTTGATGGCTGGTGAGGGAGGGGCTGTTGAGGGAGTGGCTGTTGAGTGAAGTGCTTTGCTGCGTGGCAGTATCTGAAATATTCATTTTCCTTGCTAGGAGTTTTTATAATTAAAAATATTGTTATATCAGCCAAGTTATTTCTTACACTCACGTTACTTGTGACGTTGCAGTGCTGGCACATCTGGGACCTGGACGGCCGTGGCTCCCACAAGGGCGCGTGGCGCCTGCACATGAACGGCTCCCCTCTCGTGGTCGTGGGCACCCCACACTCCCCTTACTCGTGAGTAATCTTACTCGTGAGTAATGCCTTCACACTCCCCTCACTCGTGAGTAATGCCCCCTCACTTCCCTTACTCGTGAGTAATGCCCCCTCACTCCCCTCACTCGTGAGTAATGCCCCCACACTCCCCTCACTCGTGAGTAATGCCCCCACACTCCCCTCACTCGTGAGTAATGCCCTCACACTCCCCTTACTCGTGAGTAATGCCCCCTCACTTCCCTTACTCGTGAGTAATGCCCCCTCACTCCCCTTACTCGACCCTTACTCGTGAGTAATGCCCCCACACTCCCCTTACTCGTGAGTAATGCCTAGTTTTTATCAGATTTTGTTATCAACCGAGATATATTGTATGATCAAAGTAATTAAGAAATTTCTAGTTCGTCTTTCTTTTAAAAGAATAGACATTTTAGCAGGTAAATTGTACTGTAATTCAAAAGATTGCCGAGATGCACTGAAGCCAGTAAATAAGGTATTTCCTGGGTCTGGGTGTTGGCTTATCTTTGCTACATTCATCACCTGTGAGGTGTACGGAAACTCAATAGAGCAAAGTGAAATTTTAATTAATTTATCGCACCAAAGTACAATATTCAAATTGGCATAATTCTTATTCATTCTCTGAATATTACCTGGAAGGATAATGTTCTGAATTTTTACGCAGTTATTTGTACGTCTTTCTGTTTTCAGAACTTTCCAGCCCAAAGACGTTGCATCTTTCAATACAACACAGGTCTCTAAACCTGCATCTAATCTGGAGCTCGGCGGTAACGACGTGCAGACAAGATAACCTTCATGTCAAGTTTTCATCAGTCGAAAGCTTGTCCCTCAATGCAAATAACGTTGAAAATGCATTGATTACGAGTTAAGCAACGTATAATGCACGTTAATTCAACGTCAAATGCCTGTAGGGTAGCTGGCACGTCGCGTGTTAAATCAATAAAATGCGTGGACTTACAAGCAGTTCTGACTGGCGTACGCTCTATTGCATTATAATAATAGTACGATGTTGCATTTATCCGATGTACGTTGTGAGTATTATTACCTTATTGGATCTTAACTGCATTTCATCTGATACCCATTCTGTCATAATTTGATTTGATTGACTGATTTAGAGGATGTTTTTGTTTGAGTTGGAAATGAAGATATAATTGAAATGCTTATTTCAGTTATGGCCATTGAGCTTCTAGTAGGATTAGACTACTGTTCGCAAGGCATATTGTTGGTATCGAACATAGTTCGGTGATATTTTAAGTTGTTAAATACACATTATGTTGCGTAGAATTGAATCAAAGTTGCGTAAATACTTAAGAAACATTGTAATTTTTCACCAAAAATATGATTACCAAAAAATTAGATTATGTGAAATTGTATCGTAATTATAACCAACTTTAAACGGTCTCTCAATTACTTGGTTGCATTTAATGGAGTACTCGGTCAGTGCGGTTGACTCGTTCGGTGCGTCCGTTGCCTATTGTTAATGCGTAGATATTGTATCGTGATCCATGATCAGGTTGAAATCATTTAAAGTGCCTGTATTAATTTACAATTATGCATTGTGTTAATAAGTAAGAGTAGTTGGTCTTGTGGAAATAATTCACGAGCTGCCAACGCTAAACTTTGTTATTGCTGGAAATTTTGTAGTTAATGAATTAAAACCTGTAGTTAAACTAACGGACAAAAGGGTTCACTGGATAAAAATCAGTGAGGAGTGAAGTCAAATAATAATCTTAACAATAATATTGTAATTGGTTTATGAAAGTGGGTTTGACTCGTACTCCATCAGAGACAAATAAAAATTTCAAAATATTTTAAACAAATCTGTCAAATTTTAACTGATTTTCACAGCTGTATATTTCGATGACGATATAGTGAAACATTAAGCTATTTACATTTATTTATTTTATTGTAAAGGCTAGTGATATGAAAATCGTCCTTCACGAATACCACGTAACGTGGGAAATTATCTGGCATTGTATTAATTGTATTAACCTGGGTTATAAACATTGTTGATTATACGAGGCGTGTCTGTAAAATACGTGCTGCCGCTGGCGTTATGATCGTTTGTATGCGATGCGCGGCTAGGCAACTGAGGCAGGTTGTTAGATTCCCCAACTCTAATCCCTTACCAAGCCAGCTTCCCTGCGACGTCCTCCACTACCAAGCCAGCCTNCCAAGCCAGCCTCCCTGCGACGTCCTCTCTTACCAAGCCAGCTTCCCTGCGACGTCCTCCCTTACCAAGCCAGCCTCCCTGCGACGTCCTCCCTTACCAAGCCAGCCTCCCTGCGACGTCCTCCCTTACCAAGCCAGCTTCCCTGCGACGTCCTCCCTTACCAAGCCTACTTCTCTGCGACGATTAGCCTTGCCTCAGCAGGCGTCAGCGATGGAGCCTCCTCTTGCGTCTCCCGCCAGCTGCGAGTTGCGGTCTGTTATACGTTTCCTGGCCGCTGAGAATAAATCGGCGAAGGTAATTCACGAAGAATTGGTCAAGTGTATGGGGAAGAGTGCATGAGCTCCGGGATAATGCGTAGATGGGTCAGGGACTTTAAAAAAGGCTGAACTCACATCCACGACGACGCCCGCGCAGGGCGGCCTTCGGGTTCTGACGAAACAATTGCCAAAGTCGAAGCGGGAATGCTTGAAGATCGACGGATTTCAGTTGGAAAGCAGTGTGAAAAATTTCCCGAGGTCATCAAAATCACAATTGACAAGATTTTGACTGAAGGTTCAGGCTATTCTAAAGTCTGCGCAATATGGGTAGTACCAAAAAAGCTCACAGCAGACCACCAGCGGCAACGGGTTGAAGCGGCCCAAGAATTTCTCGCTTTTCACGGAACAACCCAAGAGGAATTTTTGGACTCTGTTTTTGTTTACCTGACTGTTGTTACTTGTTTTCTGGACTCTGTTGTTACTGGTTTAATTAGTTTATCCCTCTTTCCCGAGTTGAAGAAAAACCTGAGCGGAACCCAATTCCAGGCAGATGAGGAGGTTGGAAACGCGGTTGTTAGTTTTCTACATGGACAGGCGGGAGATTTCTAGGACTCTGGTTTGAAGAAGTGGGTGCCTCAAATTCAGATGTGCACAGAACGCAACGGCAACTATGTAGGAAGATGAAAAAGGCTGAGCTTCAAAAAATGTCATTTTCTTTGCAATTAAACCGGTTTTTATGTGAAATATTTCGTGGAATTCATTTTACGGACACGCCTCGTATATAGGAAAGTTCATTGATGTTCAATTGTCTTGCATACGAAGTAAGATGGTACGAAGATCGATACAGCATAAGATATCATTTATGCCATGTGAAGTTTGCTTATTTTTGTTTTTGATGATCAACGCTGTTCATACTACATTAATAACTAAGTTTTTACGCGTTTGTTATAAATGTGCTGGTAACAGATATTCCTCTCGGTAATACCGCGTATGGTTGATTTTGGAAATGCCGGTGTTTTCACTGGGGTTCTGTTTTGTACTGTAAGTTCTAAATACGTCTACCTGTATCATTTTACTTTAAGAATCCCTGAAGCTTGACTTAAATACGACGGTATCGTGCCGCAATTTTTTTCTTATTTTTGAACGGTGCTCTTGCCCTAACCGCTGATACCATTTTAATTTAGATTGCGATTTTTCAAGTGAGTTTCTACCGGCAATTGAAAACGAATTCGTTTTTGAGTCATGGTAGCGGTCAAAAAAGTGTTGAAATTGATGACCGCATTGATGTTTCGTATGTGTTGTGTCTGTCACCCTGCTGTCGTCGAGTGGTCTTATTAACGTTGTGAGCCGCTGACTTCGCCGACTCGACTATCATTTCTTCCTGAACTTTCTCAAAGAGTTTTCTGTGTCGGTGTTGTTCATGAACGTGTTAAAGCTATACTCTGCAGAAATTGATTGTATGGGAAACTTATTCGCTAATATTTCATTAACTGTCGCTCTTCGCCCCCCAAAGGATATTTTGACGCGTGCCTTTGGTCGTCAGAAGTTAATGGAATTTTGCGTTTTCATGGACATTGTTCTTCAGCGCTTCGCTGCAGCGCTCACGGAATATTAGTGCGGGTCTCTAATATGAGATCAATTGTTTTTGTGTAGACAAAATTGTATTTATTTTCAGTCTCTGTCTGTTTCTCAGAAGCGCGCAGAAGCCCTGTCTTTTCGGGATTTCATTTTCGTCTCTCTGAGATGCTAGCGCTGATTCCTTTTTACCAGTCTCAGCATGATGGTCAAATCAGATTTTCCTCACTTTACGGCTTATGCGTGATTTTTTATATGAAAACTTGCGATTTTCCAGATTTGCCACATAATTGTAGGTGAAGTTTCTCGAGAAATATGTTAATTTTTGACCTGTGCGTGATAGCTTCTCAGCAGATGCGTAATTGCCACCTCACTATACTACCATTTCATTATTTTTAAAGATCCTCGTTTTATTTTAGTTTATGACGTACATTGTATCGCAAAGTTTGTTGATGGAAACAATCCCTCATGATTCTCTTTTAACGGTAATTATTCCAATACCCGCCAATATTAAGAAATGTCGGGCAATTGGTTAGGGAAAATAGCTTCCGATCCAAACTCAAGATAGCAAATAATGTTTTTTTATTTGTTTTTTATGCTATTTAAAATTTACTTGAAATAATTAATGAAGTGATTGGACATTCATTAATTATTCAATCTCAGATTTTGAACACCTTAGGCATTCAGGGTGTCATGTATGCATCAAAATTCACATAGAAAAATTCACTGAGCTAATTATTGATTGGCATCTGTGATATCATAACTTTTTGTTATAAGATGTTAGAGTGTATTTTCTTTTATAATTGTGCATTAAATTTATTGCATCCGACCTCTTTATTCACTGCGCATTTGTGGGACTAAATGTTATGTAACCGATTGATTAATTTTTATAATCCTGTACAGATTAACGTCGATTCAATGTTGTGTGATAGTGTGATGTGGAAGTAAGGTTGTGTTGTATAACGTAACTATGTATTACAGTATTAGTTTATAAAATTTTATGCAAATCAATAATAATTATTGTATTAATTCGAACTTGTTTTCCCTGGATAGAGTTAACTTTAGTTTTGTGATTTCAGTGACCGGTTCTTCTCCGATGGAGATTTAAAGCCTTATGCTAATGTGTCTATCGGACAAGTGCTTACGTTTTTGAGCGCTTAGGTTAACTGTTTTGAAGACCATTGATGAAATTTCGATTCCTGGAACGCATTTAGTGTTCTAGAATTACTGCGATTTTTTTTAGCAAATTTGTTTATTTATTCTCCGGCAATGAAAAGGAAATTTCACGTGCGCTGGCAAAAAAATCCGGCTTCACTGACAACTCGTCTCGTGTTGTTCAATCAAATTTGTCATAGAGGCTTTTATATCATGTTTCTAGTTTGTCACTGAGGTTGATTTGTATTTGATCTCTTTACAATTTGACTTTCTCAAGCTATCATGATCCAAATTGAAATAAATAGGTACGTACTGTATCTACAGTCCTCATTGAGAATTATCGATGCTCTCTATTCGAATTTTGTTTGCATCGCTTCGTTTAGTCGCGAAGCTCTTGAAGTTCCAATTTTTTTTTCTGCTCTCTCGAAGTTAAACCGGAAATCTATCCGTATCATACATTATTTTGTTGATGGTCCTATCCACTTGAAATGATCACTGAATAGTTTATTTAAGCATGATACTTGCACATGAACGAAATATCGCTGGTGCTTCCTGTATACTTGTCAGTTTATTTTCATCGCGGCTCAAAGAGGCGTTTTAAGTTGTCAGGCTTCATTTTATTTTTTTTGCTAATGACGCTAGACGGATTTTATGTAGATAATTTCAGTCTGAAAGAATAAATGTGTGCGTTAACGTTCGTTTTTTTTTTCATTCTGAGATATCGGAGTAAAAGGTTCACTAGTTGCTCATGAACAGTAGTTACTAACTTACTCGCTTGTTTCTGCAATTATCCGTGCCATGGTTTTAAACTGAAAATACCGCGGTGCAACTCGTCATTGCGACAACACTTCTCACTTCGATTCACCGACAGGTTCTACCGTTGACTCCCTGCTGGCCTGCTGGGTTCGGTGACGTTTCGACTACGAGCCGCGAGCGCGTTCAAGAATAGCCAGGCTAGGCTAAGCTATACAGAAATATATGTTCAGAATTGAAGTTACCATTACCCTACGTTCATTGCTAGGTAAAGTACAGTTGCTATTTATTTAACGGTCAGTTTTGGAATGAGCTGGTCAAAGGCCAATTTTTAAATCTCCGGTCTTATACGTGAAAACTGAAAGAATTGCACTACTATTATACTGTACTATACTAGATAGACTACAACATTTAATCCAAATAGTTCTTTATCATTAGTAAAATTCTACTGGAAGTCATTTCCGTCAAGATTTATATACGTAAAATAAGAATAAAACGAAAATTAGATTAAAATTTTGTTTCGACTGCTTGGAATTTGGATCATGTTTGTCCATGTCCCACGAACACGTGGATGGATTCCGGTTTAAACTTCGGCCCGAGACGTACGTAAGTTACTGTGCTCTGTGCCCGACTGTGAAAATCACATAAATATAGTTGAATATTTGATATTGTAATTATTGATAGGTGTGTGGAGCAAAAGCTTGAGGCTAGAAGCTCCTTATTTATCTAAACGATGCCGGTGCGTCGGCAGAAGCGGCGTAAGGGGGGCAGTTCGTCT